GTGTTGTTGTTTTTGTTAGGTTGCTGCTTTCAAAATAAAAGCGAATAAGCCGTCTGTCGGAGCTAGATCAAATGAATGACGTGTATTTGATATTACTTGATAATTTTTAAGAATGTATTATTCTGTGCAAAAGGAATTAAAGGCCTGTCCCACATTGACGCCTGTCCCAGATAAAGGCAGGGTTAATTCTTTGATTTTAGCAAATAAAAGCCCAGGCTATTATTCAAAGTTTTACGGTAATAGTGTTGAATCATTAGTCCTTCCTCCACTACAGTTTTTTAACATAAATGAAATGGTCCGTGTTAGCATGAATTCATATTTCCAGCGCCACTGGATTAAAATCGGGACTTTGCTTTTTATTTACTCATTGCCATGGTGAATTGTAGTTTTCTTTTCATTCCCCACCTACTAACTCAGTGAACACACTCAGGGTTGATTGAACTAGTTTTGATCAGCTGTTTAAGAACTGAAAACTCAGTTTCACATCTCAGGCTCAATCAACTCAGAGCTCCTGCCTCATCATCTCTCCTTTGCTTCCTAGTGTTTTCTTTGTGACTAACCTTTTGTTTCTTGTACCTCAGGATCACCGCCTGCTCCTCTGCCTCACGTTTGCCTTCTGCTGGACAGCCAACCATGAGTCCCCCATTCGCCACTGCCCACGTCATCTTGTCTGACATTATTCACAAACTTCCTTCAGATCTCCAACCCTGGTCATCTTTCGTTCATCTAATGCCCCTACACCATCACAACACTGTGGGCACAATGCATCATTTATCACCTATTACCTCTATAATCCCAAAGAGGTGATAAAGCAGCTAAACCCCTTAGACCCATCTGTGATAAGCAAGTACAGACCAATCTCCAATATCCCTTTTCCTAGTAAAATATTTGAAAAGGATGTCTACAAACAACTGCATAATTACCTGTCCCTCCACAATCTATATGATGTGGATCAATCTGGCTTCAGGACCAACCGCAGCACTGAAACAGCTTTGAAGTGATCAAAGGATCAACAATGCTGCAAACAAACCTTCTATCCTAGTATTTCTAGAATGGACTGCAGACTAGAAAATTCATTTGGGCAATGTGGCCGTGTCTTAAAGGGGCTCTCTTCCTATCTAACTGCCAGGACATTCTCTGTGCAATTCTGACATTTTCTTTGAGGTCCCACAAGGCTCAGTTGTGTATTTCACTTTCACATGATCTCCTCAGCCCTATTAATGACCTTCACAACTGTATCAGTGACAACTATGTAGGCCATTTTTATGTTACCATATTCAAATGTATATCTAACTATCTGTTATGTTCTGTGTGCAGCATAAGGAGACTACAAACTTTCCTGCCCTATGGAATAAAGTTCCTGAGTTTTGTCTCCATGCGATGAGTCCAGGTTTGGTCAACAGTGCCAGTTCAGATCAATGTAAATGGGGGAAGAACAGGGCTGTGTTAAATATATAATGTTGCTTCTTATACTACAAAACTTGGAAATTAGAGTGTCATGGCTCAGAAGGTAAATATTTATTTCTTACAAATAGTTTTTAAAAGACTTGTTTTCAGGATGAAAAAAATGACGTCAAATAAACGTGTGCAGGTCAGGCCTTGTGAGGTGACTTCGCTGTCTCTATCTGTCATTACTTGGTGTAGGAAGCTTCTATACACAATTGAAGAACACAGATTTTTTATTTTTTGTAATTATTTTAAAATTGGAAGTATAATGAAATGTCTATTTCCGGACGCTGATCCAGTAGCTCCTACGTGTCGTGTTGTTTTTAACACTTTAAGTGTGGTTTTTAAAACTTTAACGTTAACTCTTTATATAACACTAGCTGTGTAAAACTTTATATATCCTGTGGATACAATTACTTTTTATGGACAACATAGCAGTGTACAACTTGTTTATTCAAGGGAGAAGCTGCTTTCACTCCAAACTCGGTTCCGTCGATAGTGATGGGGAATGTGAACTGTCTGACCAACAAGACGGACGAGCTGGCTGCCCTTGTGAGGACGGACAGGACGTTCAGGGAGTGCAGTTTACTTTGCCTCTCTGAAACCTGGCTAACCCAGAACACCCCGGACGCTAATGTGGATCTACCTGGATTCACTACAGTGAGAGCGGACCGGGACTGTGGACGCAGCGGCAAAAGCAAACGTTCTCGTACGCCATTGCTGTTGTTGTTTACGTCCCTCCGCAAGACTGCAAACACAACATCCAGACACATTCATCGCCATCTCCGGGGATTTCAACCACGTGACACTGGACTCCACACTGTCAGACTTTCACCAGTTTGTAAGCTGCCCCACCAGGAAGAACAGGACACTAGGAGGTCGAGGTGAGGGAAGCTTACATTGCCACTGCTTTGCCCCCACTGGGAAAGTCTGATCATAACCTGGTCCTGCTCACGCCACAGTACAAACCATGGATCCAGAGACAGTCCAAGACCAAATGCTCCTAAAGGAAATTGTCTCCTGAGGCAGCGGAGGCTCTGAGAGACTGCTTTGAATGTACTGACTGGAGCATCCTGCAGGAAGCACATGGCGAGGACATCGAGGGGATCACACACTGCACTACTGACTACCTGAACTTCTGCAGAACTGTACGCTGCTTCCCTAACAACAAGCCCTCGATCACCAGTAATGTCAAGGACATCCTGAACAGGAAGAAGAGGGCATTCAAGGATGGTGACAGGGATGAGCTGAAACGCATACAGGGGGAACTCAAGGTCCACCTGAGAGAGGCGAAGGAGGACTACAGAAGGAAGGTAGAACAGAAGCTGCAGCACAACAACATGCAGGAGGTCTGGGATGGCATGAAAACCATCACAGGCAGCAAGAAGAAGTGCAGTATTGCAGGAGAGGGGGATGCTGGGAGAGCAAACCAGCTAAACCTGTTTTTTAACAGGTTTGATACTCCAGCTCCCACAACCAGCGACGGCCCACTTCACACCCCCATGTCCATCACCTCCCCCAATGCCACCCCCATGTCCATCACCTCCCCCAATGCCACCACCATGTCCATCACCACCTCAGACTGCAGACCACCCCCACTCTCCACACACAGACAGTTCAACACCCCTCCCCATCACCAAGGATCAGGTGAGCAGAGAGCTGAGGAGGCTCCGTCCAAGAAAAGCAGCAGGCCCGGACAGAGTGTGTCCAAGGATGCTTAAAGCCTGTTCTGCTGAACTGGGGGAGCCACTCCAGCATGTTGTCAACCTGAGCCTGCAGCTGGGGAGGGTCCCAGTGCTCTGGAAGACTTCATGTCTCATCCCGGTTCCCAAGAAAAAAACACCCCAGGGAGCCGGGTGACTTCAGACCAGTAGCACTGACATCACACATGAAGACCTTTGAACGGCTGCTGCTACATGTCCTCAGACCCCAGGTTCACTATGCACAAGATCCACTGCAGTTTGGATACCAGGAGAAGGTGGGCGTGGAGCATGCCATCCTCTATCTGCTCCACAGGGCCTACTCACATCTGAACAAGGAGAGCGGCGCTGTGAGAATGGCGGTATAGAGTTGGCCAGCTCCTTCGACACCATCCGGCCGCGTGGGTGGACCCATGCTTGGTGACATGGATTACGGAATACCTCACAGAGAGACCACAGTACGTCAGACTGAAGGGCCACACATCAGACATGGTGGTCAGCAGCACCGGAGCACCACCATGCTCTCTCCCATCCTCTTCACCTTGTACACATCTGACTTCCAGTATAACACATGCACATGCAGAAATACTCAGACGATATTGTGATAGTTGGCTGCATCAAGGATGGACAGGAGGAGGAGTACAGGAGCCTGGTAGAGGACCTCATGAGGTGGTGCAGGACCAACCATCTACAGCTGAATACCTCCAAGACCAAGGATATGGTGGTGGACTGTAGAAGGAAGAAACCAGATCTCCAACCTGTGTCCATTGAGGGGGTCGATGTGGAGGTGGTCAGGATTTACAAATATCTGGGGCTGCAGCTGGATGACAAGCTGGACTGGACAGAAAATATGGACACTCTCCACAGGAAAGGGCAGAGCCGTCTGTACTTCCTGAGAAGGCTGGGGTCCTTCAACATCTGCAAAAAACTGCTAAAAATGTTTTACCAGTCTGTGGTGGCCAGCGTCCTCTTTTATGCTGTAGTAAATGCTCCGTACTTGTATAGCACCTTTCTAGTCTTTTCGACCACTCAAAGCGCTTTTACAGTACATCTGCATTCACCAGTCATACACATTCATACACTGGCAGAACAGCCGCCAGGGGCAAATCGGGGTTCAGTATCTTGCCCAAGGACACTTCGACACACAACCAGGGGGAGCCAGGGATTGAACCGCCGACCTGCCGATTAACGGCCAACCCGCTCTACCTCCTGAGCCACAGCCGCCCCATGAGGTGGAAGCAGCAAGAAGAGAGATGCCGGTCGACTGCACAGACTGGTGAGGAGAGCTGGCTCAGTGGTGGGCTCAGAGCTGGACTCTCTGGTGACAGTGGCAGAAAGAAGGACCCTGGACAAACTGCTGTCCATACTGGACAACGCCCACCACCCTCTGAACAACACCTTCATCGGGCAGAGGAGTGTGTTCAGTGGCAAGACTGCTGTCCAAGCCCAGCTCCACCAACAGACTTAAAAACTCCCCCTGGCCATCAGACTGTACAACAGCTCCTAGCCATGGCAGGGAGGACAAGAAATCTATCTATCATGTTATGCCTATTTCCACTTTTATTTTGCTGCCTCTACAAATTAGCAAATTCTTCCAAAGAGCAGAACAAACGACAAACTACATAATCATAACTAAAAGCCAAATTAGCCCTAATATCTTTCTAATTTCAGCAGAACCCACCACTACAAGCAAATAAGGTATAGCCATAGACTGGCTATAACACAACACTTGATCATAGAAACTGTGCACAGGCTGTATGATCATGTATACTAGTTAAGATAAGACTGCACTAAAGGAAATTCAGGTGCAACAGCAGCAATTATATATGGTGAAAATAAAAGACAAGCAGCTTCTCCCGTCAGACTGCACCTCTGTGCTATTTAATGCATAATATAATGAGCAAAATAAAACACGGTAATTATAGATCACATAGAAACTCTGCAAGATCAAATACAAGCCTTCAATGAAGAGTAATTTATGTCTAAGTGAGAGAAAAAGTCCTGAGTGGATCCAGAGGTTACTGAATCAGCTGTAGCTGTACTTTCCAACTTGTGGTGTGACCAAGTGGACTGGGACTCTGCTGCAGATAGCTGATCCAAAGCTGTGACACCAAGTGGTCCTTCATGTCCAGGTGAAACATCTTTGTCTGCAGGGGGGACGACAAGTCAGTGGGGAAAAACTGGAGCTTGCGTTAACCTCTAGTGTAGACTTTAGGCCCTAATAGGCAGCTGAGCGGGGAGCCAGGAGACTGAGCATGGGGCAATAACAACAAACACAGGGACAGACGGGAACACTGGAAACACAGTGAAGTGAAAGAACAAAAGGAGACACTATAGGAAAACACTGATGACAATCGCATTAATCACCATTCACTCCCTGGTCAAATGACATCGGCAGCGATGCAGGTAGTGTCCTCTTTCTGATTAGCAGATGTCTATCAGGCCTCAACGTTACATCCATATGTGTGTAGTAATAATACTATACTAGGTCTGCCGGCTGACACTTTATAGCTGCGCTGTTATGTTTTTCAGAGCACACAAACACTGTAAACACACATATGTCACCTGCCCAGCATGGTGCTATTAGCCAGAAACACAGCTTCTACACCTTATCTTTACAGTTTATACACACAGCGAGGATAATAGCTGCATTTAAAACCTGCATGTACTGACAGTAACGTAACTCATGCATGTCAGCAACAGTTAGCCTAATATAGCTAACTTGCTAATGTTATCATATCTTACCTGCTGTACTGTCTGCTGCTTTCTCGTCAGATGGATAGCATTCCTTTCACTGTTGACTTTGTGTGTGAGGCCACATGGACAGAAATGCTGTACACTTTAAGTTATGGTATTATAAATGATAGTCCTCCCTCCAGCCCTGCTCACTTCCTCTGCTTGCTTTCATGGCAGTGTGCTGGCAGTCAGAGCTCCCCCTGCAGTCCATAAAGTGCCTCTGCACCTCAGCTCTTCCAAACCCTCCCTGCTGCCTTTGGGTCACGCCTCCTCATTTGCATACACAACTCAATCCTCAATCCCCAAAACCCCAAATTCCCAATCTTAAAGGCGACAGGGGAAATGATCTGCTTGTGACATCGGAGCCAGAATGCATGACAGCCATCCGGCCGGTCGAGCTGGACTGCGTAATGTGGGAGAAACAAGCTGAGTGGCGGCCACTAGCTCCACAGAGGCAGTGGCCGGGTGAGTGAGGGAGAGGTCTGCTTATGACATCGGAGCCAGGCTGTATGAAGGCCGTCTGGCCAGCTACAGCCGGTCCGTGTAGGGTGGAGGAAATGTGTGAAAAGGCGGCCACTTACTCGGTAGAGACAGCGGCGGGCTCAGGAAAAAGCTCAGAGCTTTAGGGCTCTGTTTGTGTTTTATTTCAAAACAATTTGGTCTTGGAACAAAAGTACAAGCAGAACTCGGTGCCCTGGGAGCGCAACACTGAGCCAGCGGAGCAGATGTCGGCGGGGCTGGAGGTCAGGGAACGACTTAAGGAGCTGTGCCCGCGGCCGCCTCGGGCCGGCTGTGCCGTTGGTGGTCTCTCCTACGGTCGTGTTGGGCCCACCGGAGCATCAACCAGCTCCTTCCTGGTAGCCTCTGGAACGATGGATTGTTGAAGCCACAAAATCCGGTGTGCCTGTGTCTGCCAGATGGCTATCCGGGCAGCAGTGACAGCTGTGGCGGCGGACTCGGTGAGCTGCGCGCTGGCTCCCTTGCTGATTTCCTCTTTTTGGAGTTAGCCGCCAGCTTGGTGAAGGATGAGGCGATCAGCGCCGTGTTGTTGGCAGAGGTGGAGCTCTGAAAGGAGCACTGGTGGGTCCTGTCAACGAAGCGAGCCAACCACTGCGCCACCTGGGAGGCCAGGATGCTGTCTGGCCTGGCTTTACCCCAAAGAAGGTGGTGAGGTTGGGCTCCAGGGGAGGGACTGGGGGAAACCCCAGATCTGTAAATCTCTCCACCTTGGTGATGGGAACGTAGGTGGAGACAGAAGCCCGGAGAACCTTCGGATCCATAGTGACGCCCTCCTGGTACCGTTTAATCGGAGGGAAGCGCGGCCAGACCGGGTCTAGCTTATCCGGCTGACTAAGAGCGAGAATCCCGGCCATTTCACAAACTACATAAGTGCACCACAGTATTCACTCGTCATGGTGCACAATTAAGATGTGACAGATATGAGCCCTTTTGAATAGATACTTTGGGACAGTATCCCATAGTGGCAATTTTTTATATCATAGGGACACATTTTTTGCTGTGCTTCCGCTCTAATGTATTTATATATGTTATAATTACTTTAGTATTTTCAGAAGATACGGTGATATCTTACATACTTGAAAGTACTGTGAAATACCTGATGCTACAACAAGCATTTTCTTTTATTACCTCAGGGAGTCGAATGTTAATTTCTTCCTTTTGTTGGATTTAAGAACACACACCCCCTGACACCCACCACGCTAGGGTGCAGCACTATCAGATTCTTAAACTCTAATTCATCCTCAGCACTGCTCCATTGATTATAGTTTATTTCTGTTTACCATTTTTATAATTGATTCTGTATTAATGTATATTGTCTTCTATGTAGCAAAAGGGAGTTAAAAAACTCAATTTCACTCTATAACTTGTTATATTGTTACAATAAACCCACCTACCTACCAAACCATAAGCTGGATCACAAACACATACCCTTGTAGTGTGCTATGGTAACCAACAGAGGGTGGTGTTTACTTTCAGATGACATGCCCTGAGACTTGTACTGAGCCTCCTGCCAAGACAAACAGGAAATGCCAACAAAGGTGCTATATATTCATCTTGCCCAATGAATGTGTAATCAATACCTTTTGAGGTGGCAAGATTAACATTCCTCCCATGGAAAATATCAACATGATACATATACATCACTACAATATACACTATACGTCCATTTGCCCATATCACAATTGATTTTTTATGTCAAATGCCAGCCTCCCTCTCACTTAGTATGACTATACCAGCATGTACACACACAAACACAATGACAACTGGTAATTTTCCAGTCTGTGTATGAAAATGAAAGAAAAGGTACTACACCAAAGATGCATAGCATACTGTGAAAATGACATAGGCCAAACTGCCTTATACAGTATGTTCCCACGGGATCAGGTCCTTTCTGAGTCGCTGATCTCAGATCAATATTTTCATTTAAATGATATTTACTGAATCTGAATTTTACATGTGCTGCATTTCTTGTCCCCATGTTTTAAAATACTACCTTGCTGCATTTTGAGCCAGATTATTGTACTGCTCAAACGTCCACGACCCTAAAGGTGGTCACCAGTCACTGACGCACATTTAACATATTATACAGACTAGGAGCCAGGTTCCATGTTGGTATTGTCTTTTTGGTCACTGGATGGATTGAAGAAGTTTTTTTTTTGAGTACGAAGTTTTACAGGCACTGTTTTGTCTTCTCAATTCCCATGAACCACCAGTGGAAGGAACGGATTAAACTGATGCTGAAATAACTACAACATGATGCCAATTTGTTAAACATGCTTTGTCAGGTCTGTCAGCAAGTCCGCAAGACAAAGACTTTTCAATGTTTGTTTTCTGAATGGAGTTTGGATTGATCAGGGCTATGCTAACTTGTTCACAGTAAAGTAAAATGATAGCTGGAATAAAATTACAGGCATATTTTCTGAACTCACCATGTAGTTCAACTTCATCGTATTCTTTTTTCGAAGCAATGTCCAGTGTTGTTTGTTTTTTATCAGTGGATAACACAAACAGTGGAACTGGAAATACACGGTAGCTTGCTGCTAAAAGCACCCCGAAACACTAGTCGGCAGTAGCGGTACAGCATCCACTATGTTGACTTTTGCTGGCCGAGCAGGCTAACTTCCCGTTAGCCCTCCGCTAATGTGAATGGGGGTAAAATTGTATACATGCGGCTGGTGTAGCCTTTTTATTTGTTATTGACCTAATGGCTCACTTTCTGATAGTGAAACGTGTCATTTCGCTCGGGTTGTGACGGTCAATCCACTGTGTTACAGCCCTGTTTTGGCCGATAGTAAAAGTTACTTCAAAGTAGGGGTGGGAATCACCAGAGGACCCACGATACGATATTTTCACGATATTTATGCTGTGATTTGATTTTATTGTGATTTTAAATATATTGAGATATATTGCAATTTATTACCTTTTTCCAACTTCCAATTAGGTCCCTAAAGTCAAACTTTGTCAACATCTGTTTATCTGTTTGTTCATATCACTTTTTCAGTCCTCTATATGGTCCTGTTAAGTTTTCTAGTGGACTAAAAAATCAATAGATTTTATTATTCTAGCACCAAAGATTTAAAACTCTTGTACTTGAACGTAAATGCCCCCTTAAGTCGGATTTCCGACTTGGAAAATCGGGAAAACCGCACTACCCCAACTTTGTGATCCAAGATGGCTGCTCCGAGTATGAACAGTTAGTGAAAGCCGTAGTTTATACTGTTTATTAGCACTTTTGTGTACTTGTGTCTCATAGAAATTTTCTACAAATGCTGCGATATCAGGCGAAAGATAGTTTCAACTTTGTGCGCTTGCAACAGCCTTGTTCCTGTGAGGTTTTATTGTCATGTGACATGGTGACATTTTGCAGTGCTGGCAAAAGTCGGACTACATTTCTAATCCACTATCGTCCCTTCTAACATGTGGAGGAGACTTTGACCCAGCTGAGAGGATCTTCCTGCAGTCAGCAGGTTCCTCTCTACAGGATGCTGGTAGATGATGGAACAAGCCCTTCAACTGACATTGAAAAACACAGACGGACCAGATCCAATGTCAGCACTCCCCATCCTCCCACAACCCCCAGCTCCTCTCCTTCCCTGACCTTCTTCTCCTCCTTTCACTGTCCTCATCTCCGTTTGGCTCTGTTCCCTCATTCTCGCTCCCTCCATCCCCTCTCTCACTCTGCAGCACCAACGGATTTCTTTCAAGAAAAACATAAAGCTTAATTATGATATTAAGGGCTAAAAGTAAGTTTTTAATATTTCAATGTTTTTTACTCCTAATTATATTACTGAAAAAAGCTCCACACATATTCCAGTTTCAGGACCCTCCCACATAGATCATAGTGGTATAACATTGACCACATGTACTGTATAACATATATGTCAATAACAAAAAATCTACACGACTTTCATTATGCTAACATGCATGTTCAGATATAATTAGCATATTTGACCATCTTTGTGAGAAATGACACGTGTATATTTGTCAACATACATGTGTTCATATATACAATAAATACATATGTTTATAGCATTTATTGTATGCCTATGGTATCCTAGGTTATGTTATCCTTGCATGTGCACACACGTGCACTTACTTTGCACCACATACATCTGAACTTATGAAGTATAATGCTGTATAAAACAATATAATAGTATAATACTCAATGATTTTGATTTGACCATATGTAATATTGGATGCGAGCAGTAACATATGATTGATTTGTATACCATTGGGGTGGCTGTGGATAAGGGATAGAGCGGTCTGCTTATCAGAAGGTCGGTGGTTCAATCCCCAGCATCCTGTGTATGCTGAAGAGTCCTTGGGCAAGTCACTGAACCCAAATTGTGTATGAATGAGTTAATTTCTGTTTCTGATGTATAGTAGGAACCATGGCTTCTGCTCACTAGTGTACTGTAGTGCGCATGCGCCAACGTGCATGCAGCCAGTTTCAGTTGCTCCGTCTTTCGTCGTCTTATTTCTAACTTTTTAACTTTCTTTTTATATCTCATGTGTGTGATTCTTGGACTATAAGTAATTTAAACTACACTCTC